TACAGAATACACATGTATAAAAAATGATGAGAAAGTGATTATGACTATAATAAACCTAAAAAACATGTATAGTGCAGCAAAAGAAATACAACAGTCACTACTTGAACAAAGAAGGTTTTCCCTTTTAAGAAAAGAATGGAGAAGTAAAACCAAAGGTCAGGATAAAAGTTTTGCTATTGAGTTGGCCACTTGCATATTGCTAATGTAGTGCATTGCTCTAATTACAGTAAGAATGTCTACATATTCAACATATTGTTCTGTAGTGCTGCTATAGATCATTTTTCAGTCATCTTATTTTTCTCTTTCTTTTTTGCTTCTTTTCTGCAGCCCATTCTAGAATTAATGCACAGACTAGGAATGTTACCTTCAGGTTGATTGCAGACATATGCCACACTATTCTAAGAGAGAATTGACTACATACATTGAGAGGGATAACATCAGGTTGACGACTGGTCCTGAGAATTAGCTAAACTATTGCGTAAACATGGTCAAACTGTTTCATAAGGCACGATAGTTTTAAGGTGAATAGGCAATAGCTTTCAACTCTTATATTAACAGAAAACATGTACCAAACACATTACCAAAACATATAATATATTGTAACCTACTAGAAAAATATAGTAACCCATATGCTTCAAATAATATTACTTGGAACTATACCTTTAACTTGTTGAAAGATGCTGTAATTCTCTCCTCTGCCTTTCTCTGTTTCACTGCCCACTTCTGCTCATCAGCTAGTTTCCTTTTTTGCTGATCCATAATCCATTTTTCTGAGGTAGTGTACTTTGGAGGAGGTGCAGGTAAATCATTGGGTTCTGATTTACCTCCATCATCATATTCAATAGATTTCTCCAGCATCACACCCATATTCCCATGTCTCAGTGAATTGTTTACAGTCATCATCTTGAAATCTGAACTATAATTCTGCTGAATATCATGTTTTTGATTGCCAGAAGCCCTCTGATTACTTATCCCAACATTTCCAGGATAATTATCAGAAGCATTATTAGATAAAACCAAATCTGAAGCTGCTGGAAGCTTCTCCGATGGAGAAACATTACCGAACATGTTCATGCTCTTTGAAGGGTTCACTGTCCGCTTGATAATGCCACTTTCTTTTCCTGCAATTTGAGTATTCTGCTCTTTTACTGACATATGGTATATGTCAGTGTTCGGGTTAGCTTCTGAGATTGGAGTATCTGGCTTAAGTGGCTTTCCAGCAAAAGCATTGCCCTGTTGGCTATGAGACTGGTTAGAATAAGTTTCCACTCTTTCTGCCGGTAATTCTCCAGATGGAATGTCAGAAATTCTGGTTCCACTAATAATTTTCCTCTCAATATTAGGAAGCTTATTTCCGAAATGACTGTCGGAGGAACCATGCCTGCCAAGCACTAGGGAGCTAGACCCATGATGCGTAACTGAGGTTGTATCACATGATACTGATGTTCCATGAGGTCTTATCTCAGGACCAACTTTATGTTTTAAAGCTTGAAGGTGTGTCTTTTCTTCTGCAATTATGGACCTGTCCATATTTGAAGCTTGAATACTCTGTTCCTTGGCATTGTCAGTATCCTTTGATGATAAGTCTGTTTCCCCAATATCAGTTACCGTACCAAACATGCCAGAGCTCTCTTGGTTGATACCAGGTTCCTCTCTGCTACTGTTTGTTCCATCTGCATCACAACGTAATGACGTATTAGTAGATAAATAAATAAAGCAAATTTTTCTATATAAAATAAGGACACTTGCATCACAGATTAGTTGGCAGCATGGCATCCTTACCGTCTTTTGGATAGTTACCTCCTAGAGCAATTTCAAGATGCAATTTCCTAGGCATCAAATTGTTTCTGCATGTTGTGGAGATGTAGTAAACAGAAAAACAGATGTTAATTGATTATCGTAGTTAGTAAATGGAAGCATGACAAATTAAGACAAAGGTACCAATCATGCCTGAATGCTAGAAATACAAGACACTGAGCCCTAAGCTGCTTCAGATGATGTTCCTTAAAAGGCATCCTCGGAGAAGCAGAAGCCTGAGACACCAGACTCCCTCCAACTTCTTTAGAAGTCATCCCCCTAAGGGATTCCGCTGGAATGCTACCCATTTTCGGTCTCTCTTGAATTCCACTTCCCTATAAGATTGTTCAATGACTATGAGATAAAGAGAAGGGGGGGAAACACTGAACTCATGTATTTTCTAAACTCTAAAGAATGCAGTTTAGTTTGGCTCTGTGGCCTATCTCATTCCTGAGATATCAATATAATGACCGATAATCATCTACCATCCGCCCTTCTTTTTTTGGCATTGTGGCCGAGCTTGTAACAGACCAGCAAATTTAAAGATATGTCTGGTACACCATTATCTACACCATTATCTTTCTAGAAGTTATGTATTAAAGTTACCAGCATATGGATGATGAGCTAACCTGTGCTTGTGGACCTTTTTCAGGATCTGATGGAGCTTTACCGGAAGAAAGAGGAGGGAACTCAGACCCAGCATTGGCAGCAACCATGTCCTTTCTTTTGTCCAGTAACTGTGAACCAGAAGTTCCAAAATTGTTTCCCAACTTTGCAATATCACGACTTTCAAGTGAAGTACTATTATAATAAGCTGGGACAGAAAAACCCATCTTTGCCATGGGAAACGAATTGAAAACATTGCCTGTATTAGCTCTCCCAACACTATGTGAATATGCAGGTAAACTGATAGAGGGGGAACTCTCATTTGGTGTCCCATGCGACATGTTTTTTGATTCATCTGTAGGATATGTATTGCTGACAGTCGAAAGTGAATCCACAATGCCAGCAGAACTCTGAGAATTCCCTAACGGCATAGAGAACTTATTCTGATTCCATACGTAAGTAGAACCCATCATATTGGATTTTGCTGGCAGCATCCCTCCTTTTTGTAATCCAAACATACTGTGTCCAGACGACACCTCCCCTTCTTCTGGAAGCTTTGAATTAGGAGTTACTGAAAATAGACTTTGATGGCTTTCTTGATTGACTCTAAGTATTTGTCCAGCACCACTAGATAATGGGGACAAATTTTCCAAATGACCAGAATGTTGAGAAGGATTCAGTTGTGATTGATCAACGCCCCTAATGGCCATCTGACCTTGCACACCACCTTTGGTTGTATATTTCCCTTTCCTTGAGTTGCTTCCTGTACTCTGAGCATCTGATTGCTGAGAGTGCATGTCTGTTGTCCCCTTAGAGTCGGCCCTTTTTCTCTTAGCAGCAGTCTTTTTATTTTCTTTTTTGTTCATTTGGTTATCTGATTTGACACTGTCCTGTCTATCCTGTGAGTTTGCAGATCTGGTATCCTCCATTGGCACGCTAGCTGGACTTTCATGATCGGATGATTTGCTACTTCTCTGAGAAACAGATCCTTGATGAACATCAACTGCCATGCTGTCCATCCTACCTACTCCAACACGTGACATGTTAGGAATATGCATGTTATGTCTACCCATATCTGTTGTACCTACCAATCCTTTCGAATCATTTAGCATTCCAAAAGCCTGAAAAGGACCAGCGTAAGCTTCTCCTGTTGTATGACTGCTAGAGGCAGCTTGCCATGTTCCTGCAGGCATACCACTTTGAGGCATATCACTCCCACCTATAGGCAACTGATTATCATTGTCCCCCATAGGAGGGCCACTAGCTGAAGGGAGACGAGAAGACCTCAAAGCATCCATATCAATACCATGCTGACTAATAACAGTCTCCATTGCCCTGAAAAAAGTATAACCAGCAGATAAATTAGTTCAGATTACTGCATAAGTTGCAGTTAGTGACTAAGGGAATTATTAATGAAATGTTTAGAAAAATTAATATTGATCTAAAATTAATACCATCAAGGCCTTGTAACGTAGATCTATTATACAACACACATAGATAAATAAGAATTGCAGCTATATAAAAACCAAGTACACTGTATTTGGGTTTTAATCACAATTACTTCACCTTGATATAACTTGGTAAGGCAAAGAATGTTCCTTTCCACTCATTCTCATGTGCTGGCATATCTGACAGTCCAGAGCAAAATGTACCTGAGGTACTTATCCAAGTATGTCATATGCTACCTCTACGTAAGAAATGCTACTTACCACATAAAGCTTTGTTGCTAATTTCGAAGGCTCATCCTTTGAATCTTGAATAAGCTTCTGTAAAAATTTGGCTGCCTCCAATTCAACATGCTGAGAAGCCGCCATATCTGATAAAGGAAACTGCAGTGACAAATAACTTCAGACATATGGACGAGGTGTGATGCCAGAATGTAGGTGTTATTTCTCAGAAAGCATGTGGACTAGGTGTCGTTTCAAAAGATTACATAGCGTTTAAAGTTTTGTAACTTCCATATTGCAAATAACTTCGGGAATATGGGTATGATGCTGGAATATAATACATTATTACAATAAAGCATACACTACTTCAATATAATGTATATTATTTCGTATTATTTCAAATATAAAATGCAAAGAAAACGCCATACCCTGATTAGATGCGACAGTATTGTCGCCTGATCTCTCTCTCACTTCACATATAATATATTAATTTTGTGAAAAAAGATAGCTAGAAGGGTTTATTTTTAATTTTTAACAGGTTTTTCAGTTACATCTAGAACCTTACAGGTTTTGGTTATACACAAATAAAATTTGTTAAGTTAGATCCATAACTCTGGGACGAAGACATGCATTTTTCGAAACAATAATCCACTTCACCATAATGGGTGAAAGACTTCTGTATTTAATATGCAACATAGTGTCTGGTAGGACTAGATGTATAGGTACAATGGAGTACGGGTTAATGCGGCTGCTCTTGCTATCTTTCCAGCCTATACCTCCTAGATTACAAAGGACCCTGAGTTCCGAAAGTAACATCAAAACTTTGAACGCACTTCCTAAGGTTTTAGTTAGGTGGCAAAGATACAGAACAAAATATCAGAAGGGAAAAAAGCAAAATAAAGGGTATATAAATTCTCCCAAGTTACAGCAACAATAGCAGTTTATATTTTTCCACAAAGAAATAAGTTATTATTCAATCACTAAGCAATTATCAGGACCATCATAAATTTCACATATATTCGACGCAAAAGAAATATGCAACAACTAATTAACATTAAACAAATTAAGCAACTTTTTTATTCAATATACATAGCTTTTTGCTGCTGACTGGGGTTCACTTCGAGCTTCCCTGTTTGTCCACTCCAGAAAATTAAAAAAATTTAACATTTTGGAGGTTATTAATATCCAAATAAACCTTGCACTGATTCTCCAACGTTAAGCAGACATTAAACTAAAAAAATCCCAGCGCAGACAATAAAATATGCAAAAAGTAGTTAAAATTTAAACAATTTAAGCAACTTTTCTATTCAAAAACAGCTTTTTGCTAGTGAAACTGGGCTCAGTACAAATTTCCCATCCGTCCACTCGGAAGCAATAAACAAAACTAACAATTTAAGAATTATAAGTACCCAAATAAACCTAACCCTAGTTCTCCAAAATCAGCCCTAACAATAAATACAAGCAGAAAAATACTAAAACTTCCCTTACAAAAATCCAATTTTTCATCAAAAACTTCATTATTAAACAGGACCAAAAATCGAAAAATCGAAGACACCGTTCAATTACAAAAGCTAACCTTTTCCTCTTCCCTTTATCTCCGAAATCGGCCGATCTCCGCCGTCTTCTACGTCATCGCCGCTTCCAACGCCGTCGATGATCGGAATAGAGACCACAGACAGAGAGCGAGAGAGGGGAGAGGAGATCGGAGACGAGTAATGGGGATATTATTCGCGAACGATCAATACGAATGGAGAGAAAAAGGTGAAGTGAGCTTTGTTTGCCGGTTTCCCGCTTCCAACGGCCGCCGTCGATGATCGGAATAGAGACCACAGACAGAGAGCGAGAGAGGGGAGAGGAGATCGGAGACGAGTAATGGGGATATTATTCGCGAACGATCAATACGAATGGAGAGAAAAAGGTGAAGTGAGCTTTGTTTGCCGGTTTCGGGTTTACTACGACCCGCTAAATTATAATGTTATTAAAAAAGTTTGGGTTATTTTCATTTATACCCTTTACATCAAATAGACCATTTAATCTCGGTATTTGTAAAACTACCCCTTAAACCATCAATTTTTAGAAAAAAAATTACCCTCAAAGTACTTAATTATCAACGTTTATAAGCTGATTTATAATCACAATATAAAAGTTATCAATAGAATGGTCAATTTTCTGGCATCGAGTTGATGATTTGTTGATTTAAGGGTGATCTTTTTACAAAGCTGATGATTTGAAGAATGGTTTTGCAAACATTAAGATTTGGAGGTTGGTTTGGTTTGGTACCCTACAGTTTCACTTATTCTGAACTTTGATACCGCAGAGTTTATTTCTGCCCGTTCAATATCCCCAGTGTTTCATAAAGTGAAATGTTGGTACCTCCATCTCGGGGCTATTTGTTTTTTTCATTAAATACGGATCATGAGCTGGATGTGGAGGAGATTTGGACTTTTATAGTTTTATAGCCATCGTAAAGACCCTCTAAATCTACTACTTCTTTTAACTAAAAGAGAACAATGAATGACCACTAAAAATTCTTTGGGCCAATCAGATTATTTTTAAAAATAAACTTTATTTCCCTAAAAATACTCTCACGTCTTTTTAGCCTTATTTTCCCCTAAATAACTTCCTACGGTCCATACCTACACCCAGTACTCTCCTCTCTAACATCTCATTATAATAACTTCAACCTCCTAAAAATACTCTCACGTCTTTTCAGCCTTATATTCCCCTTAAATAACTTCCTTCGGTCCATACCTACACCTGCTACTCTACCAAATCTGATACCTCTATTCCCAAATTCTCAAACCTCCGTTGTCATCTCCCTCCTCCCCCATCTCCTCTCCCCCTCCCTCCGTTCTGTCCCCCTCTCTAACGAGTTCCTCCACGAGCAGAACCAGCACGCCCAGTCCTTTGCCACCTATCCTCGTTGTTCCATCATTGTCCTCGTTGTTCCATAAGGTCGAATCGAAACCCTAGATATTTTTCTAGTTTGATCCTCATGTAAGGCTACCTGTTGCCTTTAGATTTGATGCAATTTGGATTAAATTTTGATTAAATTCTGTAAGGAGTTATAAGTTGTAAGAATTAGTCAAGGATACAAATGCATTATCAAATAGATTTGTCTTATATTATCAGTATGTAACTTAATTATGCAGTGCAATCAGTATTGGTTTCACTTCTATCTAAAAATTCGAAGCGTTGATAGTTTAATTTGATAGTTTCACTTATTTTTTGTATCCTTTTCAGCCTTATTTCCCCCCTAAATAACTTCCTCTGGTCCATACCTACACACACTACTCTCCTCTCTAACATCCCATTATAATAACTTCCACCTCCTAAAATTAGCAATAAAACTAAAACTAATGCTTAACTATTGTCTCTTCTTCAACCTTCTCAATGAGAGATAAAGAGGTAAAACTTATTGTATATTGTTTTTACATAGATAGATTTTTCTACTAATTATGCATAATAAATGCGTTGAAATATCTATCATAAATGCCAAGCAAAAATTCATGTAGTAAATACTTTTACGGTGCATTTCTTTATTATTATTAGTATCTTGTCTTACAAAGTTATAGTCGTAATAATATTAGTTGGAAAGCATAATTTTGTACTAAGTTTGTTAATTTTTCGATTTCCTGTCAATTTCATCTAAAATCGACACATATTAGATCTATTGCACACATCATAGGATTTGTTATTAAAATTGTTCATTAATGTGATTTTCTGAGCTTTTTATCTGCAATTGAGACATATAAGATATATTGCACACATCATAGTACATCTATCTAATTATTTGATATCACTTAATATCATTTAATGTGCAAGTTAACATTTATGGATAGTGTGACAAACTATCTTAAGAAATATCAAACCCTACAGGAGGTGAAAAGAGGTTGGTCAATAATTTAAGTATTTAGGTTGTTATCTGTTGCTAAAAAAATTTTGCTATTAGAAATCTAAAATTAAATGAAACATTAAACTCCACAGAATATAAGTACGTTAAGTATTTTAATACTTTATTTTTTTATATTTTCTAACCTATCACAGATGGATGTATTATATTTTTTAATATGATGATAATAACAATATATAGTACTCCTTATTATCATATTTCTACCATGCAAAATTTTAAACGAATTTATAAACCTAACAATATTAAAGAAAATATTAAAAATCCAAATAAAAAAATTAATTAAAAATTAAAAATGAAATGCTCTTTTGCTTAGCATGGGTCGAGTCACATCTTTTAAAAAATAACTAACTGCTACAAATATGTCAGCATGTATCTCCTAATTCCCCTAAAAATACTCCCACGTCTTTTAAAAAATAACCAAATACTACAAATATGTCAACCTGTAACTCTCACGTCTCCCGCGGTTTTTCCTTCTCCTCTACACCCAAATTATGGATGACCCCAAAAAATCTTTATACACATGTAATGCACGTGGTCAAATATCATGATTAAGTATATTTTAAAGAAAGTAGGTTTTATGCACGTGCAATGCACGTGGTCAAATAACATGATTAAATATATTTAGTTTATTTACTTACTAAATTTTTATTTTTGTAACATGTTCAATATTTGCAGAAAATATTTTAGAAACCGTGCTTTGCACGGGTCTAAACACTAGTACGTGTGAATTGCCAAACTTTGCAGGCATACAGTTTATTTTGGACGTTTAATGTTACTCTCTCAGCCATTTCATGGACATTTACAATAACAAGAGGTATAATTTAAAAACAAATCGCCTGATAAACATGTGATGTAAATTTAACATGAAAAAAACTGATACCCCAAGCAGTGGTCTCCAAATTTTAATATTTGGAAAACATTATGTTACCGAACAATTAAAAATATTAAGGCTACACAAAAATGGATGAGACTTTTTTAGTACTGTAGTGTGATTAAGCCGAAAAAATTAGTCCTAATAACCTCAACATAAAAACTATAATAAACTAAATTCGCAGGTATAAAACACTTCAAAAGAAGTCTCAAACGCGGACAATCAAGAAAGAGATCTCCATCAAGCACAAAATTTAACCTTTCTTTTTTGGGAAAATTTGCAAAATAGACCGTTTTTACAAAATAATTAGCGAAATAGACCGTTTTTGAAAGTAATTAGCAAAATAGACCGTTTTTTGGGAAAAGAGGTCGATTTTGAAAAATAGTTCAGAAAACATACGGGACTACTAGTCCCGTATGTTTAAAGTTAACTAATCAAACGTTAAGTGCAATCACAAAATATACGGGATTACTAGTCCCGTATATATTGTACACAAATCAAAACGTACGGGACTAGTAGTCCCGTACGATTTTCAGAGCCAGCCAAGCCTCTGCCAACCAAATCCACGGGACTACTAGTCCCGTGGATTTGGCGAGGGTGAACCTGGTCTGCAATTTATACGGGACTACTAGTCCCGTATAATTACAGACTATATATTCACCGAAACTAGGGCACAATTTCCCCCTTCGTTTTTTTCTCTCGCCATCTCCCTCTCTCTCCCCCGAGCACCCACTTCCGATCCCCTCTCTCTCTCTCTCTCTCTCTCTCTCTCCTGAGCTCAACTCTAGATCTCCCCCTCCCCCTCTCTCTTTCCCGAGCTCACATTCTCTCCCAAGCATCAAAGCTCTCATTCTCTCACAAACCCGATCTCCATCTATCCCAAAACCCAACAATCCCTATCTCTCTCCCCCAAAACCAACTCACCTCTTCCTCCCTCAAATCTGACGCCGACGCCGTCGATTCTCTGCGAGGCCGAGGAGATCTGAGATTTAATCAAGGTACAAATTTTAATTTTTCCATAAATTTATGTGTATTGTTTAGTTAATGTTGTATATCTAGAAGAAATATATGATTATGGTCTAGAAAAATGTCTGGAAAAAATATAATTATTATATGATGAATTTTAATGCTTCAATTAAAATGGCGAACGGAGTACCGGTTATTTGCTTATTCAATGGAAAGCTGAGCATTGGAATGAATAATATGCCTATATACGATGGAGGCTCTAGGAAAATGTTCATGTTGTTCAGAAATTACAACTTTGATAGATTGGTGGCGCAAATATACAGAGTCACTGGAATTAATCACGTCGAAAATTCCATTAAGATCTTCTGTAATTGTCCAATAAATGATCAAAGAACAATTGCTGTAGAGATCACCAATGATGAAGAATTGAATAACATGATACAGCTTGCGGAAAAACAAATATCAATCGAGTTGTTTATTGAAAAAATTCCAGTGTATTCGGTCGCTGAAGTTTCATATGCTCGTGGAGAGTTCTCCCGCATGCTTGATAATCAAATCTCGTTATCTCAAAGTGCCATGCGCTTTAAAAATGAGTCGGGTGCAATGTCAAATGACGTGTTCCACAACTCGCCGGGTTATGTTTCAGTTGATTTACCGGGGGGTTCTACAATAGCAGAGGATAATGATGAGGATGTAGATGCCAATGATGATACTGAAGATGCTGAAGAGGATGAACGTATTGATAGTATGCAGTATGCAATTGGAGAGACCAATGATGACGTAAGTTGGATGGATGAATATTGCGTAAATAACGACTACGTAGAGTCTGAAGAGCCGTTGCCAGAAGAGTTTCAAAATGATGAGTGGATAAATGCCTCACAAGCTGAGTTCGTCGATCCTGGCCCTAATTTCGATCCATCCGAGGACTTTACTTTCAAGAAAGGAGATCTTTTCGAGAACAAGGAAACATTAATTTTCGCTATACGTGAATGAACAATCAAAAACCGGGTCAAATTCAAGACGGTGAAAAGCAACACGACTAGCTATCATGTAAAGTGTTACTTTAATGAGAGAGGTCAAGAAGAGAATACAAGTGCTGCAGATGATAGAAATTCAAAGTGTCCATGGAAGCTTAATGCAGCTATTAGGAAAAAATCACTTGGCCAATTTATAATCTCTAGTTATTGCGGACTCCATACATGTTCTAATTCGACTGCAACTTATGATCATAAGACTTTGACTTCCTCTTATATCGCAAAGCTAATTATGCCCGAAGTTAGGCGGGAACTTGATCTTACTCCAGGACAGATAATTACAAGGGTATATGACATAAAAAGAATAACAATATCCAAGTTTAAAGCATATGATGCACGGAGGAAGGCGTTGACTAAAATCTTTGGAGATTGGAAGGAATCTTACCAATTACTTCCGCATTACCTTTCAGCAATTATGCGAAAAAATCCGGGTACCGAATATGACATAGTGTCTAAGGAGGTCGCACCAGAAATGGAGAGGTTCATACGTGTTTTTTGGGCATTTGGGCCCGCTATCAGAGGGTTCTCTTTATGTCGTCCGCTCTTAAGTATCGATGGAACACATTTATATGGCAAGTACAAAGGGGTTCTCTTGGTTGCGACCGGTGTAGATGCAAACGGTGGGCTATTTCCTATAGCTTTTGCAGTTGTGGAGGTGGAGAATACATCGAGTTGGAAGTGGTTTTTTCAATGTATTTACAAACATATTCCGACTGTTCAAAGTCCACGAGTTATTACCTTTATTTCTGACCGGATGAAAGGAATTCCACGAGCCTTGCACGAGGGGTGGAGTGCACCACATCATCACCGATATTGCTTGCGGCATATAAGAGCTAATTTTAAGAAAAAACATGGAGAGGTCAATTTACAAAATCTATTATGGCAAGCCGGTTGTGCAACTGACTCACTGGTATATGAGCATTGTAGAGAGAAAATTAAATCCATATCACTTGAAGCCCACGATTGGATTGAACAAAACTTGAAGCCGCAATACGAAGATCGATGGGCATTATGTAAAGATGGTGGAGTGCGATATTGTATGATGACAACTAATTGTTCCGAAAGTTTCAACGGCGTACTTAAGGGTGCCCGTGCTATGCCAATTCAAGCCTTAGTTGCAAGGACGTTTTATAGATTGAACGCATATTTTAATAAGAGGCGCATTGATAGTGCAAATTGGACGAGTAAGTACACTCCAAAAAATGAGATTATTTTGCAGAAAAGGATTGTGGCTGTGAGAACATGTAGAATTGAACAATTCAACAACAATGAGTGGGAGGTTAAAGATTGTGATGGTACATACACCGTTCATCTCGACGATCAGGAGTGCAGTTGTACTTGTAGTATACCACAATTACAGAAAATCCCATGTCAACACGTTTTAGCAGCTAGTTCCAATCAAGATGGTGGAGCTAGATTGCTTTATGACCGATATTGCTCAGCTTGGTATTCAACAAATCATTATCGGCGGGCTTATAAGGAGAGTTTTCATCCTCCCGATGATACTCGCTATTGGCCGGAATTATATATACCGTATATATTACCACCTAAGCACAAAAGGCAAGCTGGACAACCAAAATCCGTACGCATTAGATCTACCATGGATCAAGGTCGTGAAGGAGTAGCGTCACGAATCCGATGTGGACAATGTAATCAATTAGGACATAATAGGTCTCGTTGTCCATCAAGAGCAAGTAGATAGCAATTAATTTGTAAGTAAAATATTTTCTAATAATATGTCATCATTATATGTTATTGATTTAGCAAGTAGATACATTGTTCATATGTATTTGATTTGGCAGAAACTCATAAGTTACCGTTATATGTGCAGGTATATACACGATGCTTCCCGGACCGGATAATGATGAAGTCCTTTATGATCAGTCACGCCACCGTTCGGAGAGCATATCATTGACATCGGTAATGATAACATATTTACAGTCACATATTACTTATTCATTTTTATAATCTTTGTATTCATTTATGTGCAGAGAGGACAAGAGCTGGTTATGATTGATCATAGCCTTGGACATACGCGCTGGCCACTTGATGATCCTCGCATCATTGCCCTAGTATCCCAAGCCGGTTTTCTTACTTGCTCAAAATTGAAATGGATGAAGCTCGATTGGGCACTGCTTAACGCGTTGATGGATAGATGGAGGCCGGAGACTAATACTTTCCATCTACGTGTCGGCGAGACAACTATTACTCTCCAGGATGTAGCAGTGATCCTAGGTCTACGCATTGATGGCCCTTGTATCACGGGGACTGATAGACATGTTTGGCGAAGAGTATGTGATAATTTGTTAGGAATATCTCCGGAGTCATTGCCTGGAGGGTATATTAGATTGAAGTGGCTTAAGGAGAGTTTTGGAAACCCGTTGCCACAAGATGCATCTGAAGTGATGATCCAACAGCATGCGAGAGCATATATTATGCACATGATCGGGACACTTCTTTTTCCCGATTCAAGTAAACATAAAGTCCATTTGAGGTTAGTAAACATTAAGTATTGATTTTTGCTCACTATTCTTAGTATACATGACTAACGTATTTGAACTCGCGCTAGGTGGTTACCACTTATCGAAGACTTCGACATGTGCGGGACATTATCCTGGGGTAGTGCTGTTTTAGCATACCTATATCGAGAAATGTCAAAGGTTGCTTTAATGCAAAATAAGGAGCTCAAGGGTTGTTTAACATTGCTACAAGTTTGGGCATGGGAAAGATTGGTTTTGAAACCACGATTATGCGAGATCCGAGAGTTAGATGGACATATTCCACTAGGCTGCAGGTAAAAAGCGTCAAATTGAATCTCATTTGTATTTAATTTTAAATTTAACATTTTGAACAAGGAAACATTTCTTGCAGATGGAATGTCACAAAAGCTTATGATGAGACCCCGGCTAGGCAATTAGACTTTTACAGAGGGGAGCTCGACCGGATGAAAATTTTTCAGGTATCGAATTTGAATTGAAGTACTCTATGATATCAATATATTTCAAAGAGATATTAACATTTGGATTTTTTTTCAGTTCGAGTGGCAGCCATACACCCCTCACCTACCTCGTCTACCGCTGATTTGTATGGAGGGCCACGGCATATGGAGGGCCAGAGTTCCTCTCGTTTGTTTCGAGATTGTGGAGATGCACGTACCCGATCGTGTGTTTAGACAGTTTGGACTCGCGCAACATGCTCCACAATATGTCGAAAAAATAGAGAGAAAGGTGACTAAAGGTGGACATCAGATTGACTGGTGGCGCACGCATCAGTCATACATAGCTCGGTGGAATGATCGGCATCAACTTATTGTCGATCCGCTTTATCCTCCGATGGAAGAAGTTGATTACATTAAATGGTATTAGGGGATTACCAGACGTTGGATAATCACTCAAACTACGCCTCCAGTCGACGAAATCGAGATTCGCTCCCAACAATCCCGATATGTACCAAGAGGGGTAGACGAGAGACGATGGGTAAGTTAAATTGTCAAAATTATCATAGAATGTCAATCTCTTCTTAGCTTATGGTTTCTAATATCAATATTTTTATGTAATTGTAGATAGATGCTATGGATGACGTCGAGGGGCTTGCAAATGAGGGCATAGTTACCGCCACAGGAGATTCAGTACATGTATCGATATTGCATCGGATAGTGGCGAGAGTTCGTAAAGCTTTTCAACAAACTTATGAGGATCGACATGATGGTCGTGAGCAGGTGGATCTTGACGATACTCTATATGTACGCCGACGTAGGCGCGGTAGACCTTGCACGCACGACGATGAAGCCGGTCCGTCACAGCAAGCCGGTCCATCACAGCCCCACACACAACCGGAGAGCGAGCATATTCAAGCTCAAGTCGAAGGAGGACGCCGGCGATCTCAACGAGTGCGAAGAGAGAGACGACGGGGAAGGGGTGGATTTTTTATTTGTTAGTTTTTCCACTAAGATATATATTGTTGTATGGATTTATTGACCTTGGATTTGTTTATCTTAAACTGCATATTATCGTATGGGTCGACTTGAGACATTTGGATTTGTTTAGCTTAGACTGATATATATTATCGTATGGATTTGTGATGTGTATTTTTGTCGGATTTTGGATGTGATGTGTATTCCGTTGGATTTGTGTTGTGATGTTGTTGAATACGTCGGATTTGTGTGGTGATGTACTTTATGATGAGATTTGTGTTGTGATATTGTAAATGATATCTTTTTGGCGAAAATTTTGGTTGTAATCGATAAATGAGGCCCGCACATGTTTGGTGTATGTTTGATCCTGCCCAGCAAATCCACGGGACTAGTAGTCCCGTGGATTTGCTGGGAAGGCCTTTAGCTGCTCTGCAAAATCCACGGGACTAGTAGTCCCGTGGATTTGCTGGGTAGTGGATATGGGCTACTCTCAAAACGTACGGGACTACTAGTCCCGTACGTTTTGTTAACACAAAATTAGTTAACTTTAAACATACGGGACTAGTAGTCCCGTATGTTTTCTGAACCATTTTTCAAAATCGACCTTTTTTCCCAAAAAACGGTCTATTTTGCTAATTACTTTCAAAAACGGTCTATTTCGCTAATTATTTTGTAAAAACGGTCTATTTTGCAAAATTTCCCTTTTTTTTGTGAACGTGATATTTATAAGGAAATTTAAGGAAACCATCTGATTGCAAAATCACATTTCTCGCAAAAACACATTTGATCTATCTATCCCGGATAAGCCAACCCAAGTTACCAATTTTTTTCTAGTGATTATACCTTGACTTGTTTGTGGGGGATTTTCCTACTCATAGACAGACTTTTTTTTCTTAATTAATAAAGGGTTTCCTCATCATGTGCAATGAAATGGTGTCAATAATCCACTGTATGGACGCTAAGGGTGGGCAAAAACCGAAAAAAACGGTTCAACCGAAAAAACCGCCCGAAAAAGCGGACCGGTTAACCGAACCGGATTAAATGGATGAGAATAAGACTCTAAACCGCCCGAACCGAATTAAACCGGTCTGGATCCGGTTTGAACCCCTGAAAAGCCCGAAAAACCAAACCGAATTTTCTAATATAAACACTGAAAACCCTAACACTAACTCCATTTCTCCTAGTCTCACACCACAACACCGCTGATCCCAGGACTATTTGCATGGTTTGTAACTAAGTAACCCTTTAATTATTTCTGGACTATTTGCATGGTTTGTAACTAAGTAACTCTTTAATGAGTTTATTATTATGGTATGGTATGTACTTGTTGATATGGTTTGCGCTCATTTCACTGATTTCAGATTTTTTGTTAGTTGTGGCAATGGTGTTACTTCAAACAAGCTCCACATTTCATTGTTTGGGGGAAAATTAAGTAGACAAAATGGACAAATAATGATACTTCATCAGAAATTAATAGGCAATGATCTCAGGTGTGGGCAGATTTTTGTGAAATGGTATTAATTCGGCCCAAAACCGAAACCGATCCGAATTTCGGTTGGGCCAAATATTCGGATGAAGGAGAAAATTTTTGGATTTGGATGGGAGTTTTGAGAATTCAAAAAATTCAGATTGGATACGGATTGGGCTTAAAACTGACCCGAACCGAATATGCCCTGTCCTAATGGACGCTTCTTAATCTTCGCGGGCCAAGATTAATCCAGATGGACCTAAAAAAGTTAACAAGGCGTTGCCGAATAGGGAGCATGCTGGTAGATGGGCTTTATGTGTTAGTTTCATAAGGGCCCATGTGTCAGCATGTTTAATTCCCGAAAATCTTAGACATCATTTGAATACTTAGGTGTTTTCCTTATTGCATTTTCTAAAAAAACATCATGGTGTTGTGTTTTCACCAAAGTATTTTTAAAATAACATTTATATGAGTATTTTTTGTCTACACTAATTTGACCATTTATAATAATATTATTAATAATATCATTTATATATTTCATAATAATTTTAATAGAATATATTATAGTTAAAATGTTATAATATTTATTTTATATCATACTATTATTATTATGAAATATAATACAATATATTATAGTATAATGTATTGTGATATTATATTATATTTTAATTATTACATATTAATTTTAAATGAAAATATATTTAATTATTTTGGTATATCAATTTGTTATTGTTATATATGATATAATATTATTGTATTAATATTTTTATATTTTGTTGTATTTATATTATATTATTATACCTATATTATTACATAATACATTATCATCGTATTAAATATAATATTTAATATATTGTTATATTATAATTTTATAAGATATTTTAATTATTAATATAATTTATATTATTTACTAAATATTGCTATTTTATCACTTTAACTATGATATAATTTAATATAATAAGCATATTGATAATAAATTATATTAATTATATTTAATATTTATTTTAGATATTATATTAGCACCCCACAGACTCAAACCGGAACACTAAACTCAAAACACATTTTAGGTGTTTCGAAATAGGAAAAAATGTGTATGAGGTAGCGGCTCATTTTACAAAATGAGTTACCAAGATGCGCTTGTCATGAGACTCATCCTAGTTATCAACATTAAAAAGTGCGGACCTCATCATTTCATCTCTTGATAGCTCATTTTGCTAAATAAGTCGCTATCTCACAACCATTAATCCTATTGAAATAAGTGTTGTGTTTTTTATTTGATGATATTTTTGCTCAAAAAACATCATGGTTTTAAAACGCGTGAGCCATAGAATAAGGAAAACACCGTTGTATCTAAAACGTTACCTTCGTTAATTCATGGCATCTGCCTGTATCATATACATATTAATTAATAATTAATGTTAATGACTTCAGCTCACTTTACTCAACTATATCAAAAATATGAGGTGTAACTATAAAAAGCTATTCGTTATCTTGAAAACTATATACATCCCCATGCATATGTAATCCAAAATAGATATGTTTATTATTTTTGCGATATGGGTCCTTCAAATCTCATCTATTGGAATACAATCTCTCAGAAAATCATATTTAAGTACAAGTCCATCAAAATCTCCTCTATTTGGATACAAGGTTTTCCAAATCATCATATTTTGATATAAATCCCTCAAACCTTAATTGCAAGGTTTTTATGAATTAAGTTTAGTAAAATAAAGTGGGTTTTAAATGAGATCAAAGGATCTATTGGCTTCTTGACCTCTGCAAGAGGACAGGTTGAAAACAAAAACAAAGAATGAAAAGGAAAATTAACATATCATCAATTTTCTTTAAAAAAGGGTTAAACAAATGAAATTAATTAATCATGATGACTTATTTCAAAAAGTTAATATTTTCAGGGGGCTTGTGCCACATACGATGCTCTGGAGAACTTTTATCCAAACAAACAAGATTCATGAAACTTGCATCCAGACATGATGATTTGGGAAATTTGCATTTGAATAAATGAGTTTTGAGGGACCAATATCTCAAAAAACTTATTTATTAAGAAAAAGTGTACTAGTACATTACTCAGGCAACATGCCCATGTATCATAAAATCATATATGCTTGTGGGCTATATTGCACTTAAATGCCCATGCACTTAAGTGACCATTGTTTTAAAACCGAGCAAATAAATGCTCCATAGTATTTAAATATTACAAATAAACACCTTAAAGTTTTAAAATGTTGCACTTTTGGCACCCTCTTGTTTACTCAACGTTACATGTCGGTGCCCTCTTGTTTATCCAATATTGCATATAAATACCTTCAGCTCACTTTAATACCCTAAAGTTTCTAGAAGTTACACTTTAGTATCCTACGTTATATGATATTCTTAGATATGCAGAGAAATGTTAACACCATCTGGGGCTTTTTTTGAACTTCAAGGCATTGATCCGCAACATTTAAATACTTTGGTGTATTTAACTCCCTATAAAGTTTATTTTAGAGGGGAAAATTGGAAAATTATCGAATTGCATCGCCTGCAATTAACTTTTTTAAAACTTATTTATCTGGTCATATATCTTTGAAAAGCACAAAAACGCTGACTAGTGTCACCCGTAACCCCTCGGAATTAACTCCCTATAAAATGAGAGAATTTTGCTAGAAAGTGAAAATTGTTAATCAAGGGGAAAATAAGTCTTCAACTTTAAGAAGAAAAATACCGAAAATTTATCCCCTAAACATCAAGCATTAACTTCGTTCAAGAAGAGAGGATGGGGTTATTCTAGAGTACGTGCGCGTAGACCGTATGGTTGCGGCGTCGATCACCCACATTACCAACAATAGTTTGTGTGGTTTTTTTCCCCGCAAGATTTTGAAATGCGTGTTAAAACAGGTTGAGATTGTCTCTCTCACACGAGCATTAATTTGCAGCCTTAGGGCATCTCCAACAACAGCTTCTCTAAAATTTTCTCCTAAATAGGGAACCAAAAGTCATATTCTTCAAATTATTTTTACACCAACTCCAACAGCTTCCCTATTTTGAAGAATCCTTTTTTTCCTCCAAAAATTTGGAGAATGCTGCAGATTTGGAAAAGCTTCCCCATTTTTTCTTGTTCAACCCTATTTTGAGGAATGAGATGGAGAATCTGTTGGACCAAAAACCTAACTAAATTCTCCAAAAATAGGAAATGAGGAAACTGTTGGAGATGTTTTGCGTGCGCGCTTCACTTACACACACAGGATGCTCTTGCGTGAGCAGAATGCAATGGATCTACTCATGGTGGGGTCAATGTTAGGTTAAGCTTTATATCTTAACTAGTTTCAAGCCCGTGCGATGCACGGATTTCTCTAAAATACAAAAAATTAATGTAGCAAAATAATACAAAATAAAACGGTAATAATATGTAAGTAGCTAGAAATGATACAACTTAAGCTACATATATGTTTGACTTAATATTAAACTGTTAAAAAAAATAAAAATATAATTCCCATATTCTCATAACAAAACTGCTTAAAATACCTAATGTCTTTATGATTAATGTTATAATATTTTGTTGTAGCAAGTAATTAGTATGAAGCATAATTTTTAGTTCCAAATAAAATATTTAAATCCAAATAAAATATTTAAAGCACATAAAGATACATATCGATTATATATATTTGAATGAAAATAATAACTATCAATATATTGATAAACCGAATATCCAACATAACATAATCATATCAAGTATTTAGGTTTATCAACCCAAAACCACCAAAATAATCTGCGCTGATTACAAAAGCTTACTAAATATGGGTTCATACAAGAATACTAAATATAAGTTTCATACATCATTAATCAGATAGGTTTTTTTTCAAAAAGTAGCTTCTACTCTCCGTAGAATCTAGTAATTATCTTTTTCAATTTTGATATGTTTCTCCTTTTTATTGCTTGACATTTGCGGAGAGATCAAGTCCACTGAAACAGATTGCTCGACATCAGATCCGAACAAATTTCTCTTGCAAGGTGTAATGTAATCCGAGGAACAAATTTCAACTTCTGTATTGTCACAAGTGACAGATAAAGAGACCTGTGTTTCATAATTATAAAATAATAGTTAGCATGTTAATGAGGTGGTAGGAATAGATTGTTTTACAATTAATATGAAGAATTAAGAAATCATAAGTAAGGTGAAAAGAAGTAGGCAATACAGAAGATTTTTATGCAAAGTGTCAAAAGTGATACATGAAATGAATACATATGTAGCTTTATAAAATAAGGAAATATGTAATGTACCTGGTTCAAATCTAAGCTGTCTTTGAAAGCTGCTATCAGATTTTCATCATCAGTCAATTTTGAGACAAAAAATACAGGTCAATTTTGGTTGAGATTGAATTCTGAAACTTGTATTTTGAACAGCTGAGGTCAATCCTAATTAAGCATAAGAGCAAAAAACAGAGTCCACGTAAGAAGGGACCTGCGTTTTTTCCTCTTTTTAGAGAGAGAGAGAGAGAGAGAAAGAGAGGGATTGGGTTTCTATCAAAGATGCAGCCTGCCTTCCATTCAAGAGCAGCTTTACAAAACAAAGTTACAGTCCCCAATTCTAAGAGGTGTAACGAATACAGTCATAGTTACAAATTTAAGAAGTTATTGATATGGAAATAACACTCTTCACAGTCAAAATCCTAGCATTGAACAAAGCTCGTGCACAAAATACTGAGCAAGTTTAAACTGTACCGAGATGAAATGCCAAGAACAGGCAAAGGTAAATAGCATAAAGAATTTCATTGACCCAAAAAAAATAGCACAAAGAATTAATTACTCTGCAATCACATCATTGTACAAGTTTTCAAAATCAAAATACGCATAAACTTAAATGCCTAATTGTTTGCTTCATGCAACAGGTAACACCTCCTATTAATAAATTGTCGAATGAATGTTTAAACCTTACTTGAACTTTCACAATTCACGTACCACTGGCTCAACCAAAAACAACAACAGAGGACCATTATAAGTAATATAATGCAATTTTCATGGGCTTCTTAACTCTCTCCCTTCTTTGTAAAGCACAATATCAGACCTATCATTTTTCTGCTTTCACAGACAATCCTTAAATTTACAACTATGTATAACAAAAATACATCTTCATCCACCAAATGTCAAGACCATGAAAGGTTGAAGTTACGTAATTCTTCCTTTCTATAATTAATAGACTGGCTTGCATATAATTTAAATGAGCTAATCAACTCGGTTAATGTTATGAATTATGCTTTAGAAGCCATTTTTTCAAACATGCCTAATTTCTTATCACCAAATTATCACATTTCATTATCACTAACTGGTGAGATATGGATGATTGTAAACATTTTCAGTTTTAAAATATTCATGATTAGTTCAGTATCTCATAAAAGAGTGTAAAAGGAAAAAAGAACCACGCGTGTGCGGTCCAAATTCAACTTACAGGTGCATGCAGTTTACTGTCTTGGCCCCCCTCTGGAGAGTAACTTCGTAAGTCCTATCACAAAGATCTTGCAGAAATAATTCCAAAGCTTTTGCTGCATGCCAAAAACCAAGAAGAATGTCAGCCATTTAGACTTTAACTTTCTCATAAAACTTACTGCACTCATCAATTTAGATTACATACATTGGAAGTAAATTTCACACTAAAGCCTCAATGGATATCAACTTCCATTAGCAGCTCATAATTACAATTTATTATCTATACTCGTTGGTGCTGAAACAAAAATGCAAACTACCAGGACTAAACCATAGTTATGGTAAGACTTCAAAGTTGGATTTTAAACCTCCTTGCAAGACTATAACAACTCCGATCCTAAAACATCCACAACTGTCTCACCTTTTTGCTTTACTTCCTGCTCCAAGTTTATAGTAGATAAGATGATTTTAGACGTAACACACACAAATATTCCATTACCTTCTTCAACACTTTCTGAGAGTGAAGCCTTTCACTAAAAGTTTGGAATCCTGCTGTCTGATCATTTGATTATATGTGCAAATGTAGATCTACTTATATTACAAATATTTAACTTATTTTGCTAGCTCATAAAAAATTCATTCAACTTTTCATTAATTTTTTGGGTAATTTGTCCCATTTAAAAATTTCTAAAGCTGAATAAGAATAGATGGTTTTGCTTGAAAACATAGAACAGGATCACGTCTGTTATTGCTCCTCTTTTTAAATACTGGTGATGACCAGAGAAGAATAGCTCCGCATACAAGAAAATCTAAAACACTCGGAAAGTGCTTTTAATGGTGAAATAATAATTATAAAGATAATATAGGAAAAGATGTTTCTTGTAAGTTATACAGAAGTGAGTCTATTAGATGTCAAAACTTTAAATCATTCTCTTGGAGAATGAAAGCATAAACATTATCACTAACTGGTGAGCTATGGATGTTACAAAATAAAATTCCAACGCTTATACAGAGAGAAATTTCTTCATGATTAGTCCAGAACTAAAATAAAAGCAGATACAGTCCATATCATCACATATAAAAATTTATTTGAACCAGATATTCATGATGTAAATTAATCATATAAGTCAAATGCAGGTAGAGTAGCAAGTCAAATTTATTTGAACCAGTTATTTATTTGAAATGATATTCATATAAGTCAAATGCCGGTAGAGTAGCAAGTCAAATACAATACATTTCCAAAATGAACCAGATAGGTTGACCGATCTCTCTGCTTTAGCTCTACACGGTATACTAAAACACCATCAAGTTTGCTATTTGGGTTTTCAAAATGAATTAGATGAGATAACTCAGCTAGCTATGCTCAAAGTATATGGGATTCACTATGATTGAGACAGGGTTGAAGGTATTCCATCAGAGTATTGAAATGATATAGTTGTCTCATCTAGATCAGGTCCAAACCATATAGCAAATGACGTTGAAATCCTGACACTTATCATTACTAATAAGGAATTATCCATATCGTTTTAAGTATTTCACAAACTGAATTGTTTCTAACCATTAGGTAATTTACAGACACATAAAAAATTCATGTGATACACAAATACAGATCTAAGCACCTAACGACATCAAATGAGAGGAAAAGTCAGGTTGACTAAGGCCTCCACACAGTGAAAAGTTATGTTGGGAATTGAAAAAAAGGTGGAACAACAAAATTGTAAGGTTGGCATCACTAAAGTTTCGCATTAAATACAGGTTGAAATTTGCATTCTGTCATTTAATTGCCAGGTTGTCATTTATAAGAAAGTTTCGCATTTATATTTCGCCTTTATAAAAAATCGGGTAATGAAGGGGGAACAAAGAAATTGCAAGGTTGGCATCATTAAAGTTTCACATTAAATACAGGTTGTAATTTGTATTCTGTCATTTAATTGTCAGGTTGTCATTTATAAGAAAGTTTCGTACTTATAAAAAATCGGGTAATAAAGGGGTAATTATAAAGGGGTAATTAATGTTGAGATAAGTTACATTTGTTGGAATAATAACAACCTGAAATTGTTAGATCTAACCTTTGTTACATTTGTTGGAGTAATTATAAAGGGGTAATTACTGGCAGTAGTTTTACAGAAAAAGATGGAAGAATATGATTTGTTAGATCTAACCTTCAAATTGTTTGTGCAGCCCCGTGCAAAATGCCCTTCTTCACCGCATTTGAAGCATACAGTTGAGGATGTAGAAACATCAGTCATTTCTCCACGTCGCTTGGCACATCCCTAAATATTTTCACAGAAGCCAAGCTCAACTTCAAGGGCGGAAGAATCAACAAAATAATATAATGAACCAAGATAAGAGGAATGATCCAACTTACAAGACCGGTATGCCCAGTTTGGGAACAATTATAACAGGAGACTTCTCTTGGACTGTTATCAACAAAGTCCACGCAACAAAGATGACCGAAATTCTTGCAAACATAACATTGTATTTCCTGCCCAATCAAAGATGATTAAAAATTTAGAGAGTAATACCCCATGCACAAGTTCAGAACATGAAAACTTTCAACAATAGTTATGATGTGCAAAACTGAAAAAGAAAGTTGCATACTATTATGATATCAAATTGACAGATGACATCTTATGAAGTATAGCAACTGAAAGGAGAGGTGATTGTAAAAATATTTATAAAGAAAATCGTGCTAAGAACATTAATAACCTTCAGATCCTCAGGTGCATAGTCATTTTTGCATGATAGCATCTCATGTCCTAAATCTCCACACCGTAAGCAGATAACGCAATCCTGAGAAATATGTTTGTTCTTCTCTGGGCAGTTTTTTGCAATATGGCCTCTTCTTTTGCATATAAAACAATCTTGTCCCTGAAATAAATAAAACATATATAGGTCATATTGTGGGCTTTAGCCAACTGAGGATAACATAAGCAGAACAATTTTCACTCACAGAATATTCCAAATAAAGCAATATTTGGTGGTAAAATGTTCAAGGTAAATAGTTAAAAATAAAATGTTAAAAAATTCATTCTAAGAGGTTACCCTCCAGATTGATATCCTACATATATCTCCTTCTAACTGTTAGGTGACATAGGACCTTAAGAGACCTGCACTGTTCTGCTGTGTGAGTATGGCACAAGTATCATCTATCTTTCGGAAAGTGGACGGAATCAATCCCAACATATTAATTCCATTGTCAGGAAAAATAGCAGATACAAACCCTACACTATCTGAAATAGTAGGTTACATGATTTTATAACTCCTCGCATCACCTCTTTCACTTGGTTCTGAGCTATATGAGGCGGGATAGCAGTGGCAGCATTGGGTGCAGGGTCCACTGCCTCGTTCCTGCAGATGTTCATTGATTATTCATTATTCAATTTCCTCAAAGAGCAAGAACATGGAATAATAACTGCGTGCAAGAGAGGGGAGATCGGATAAGTGCAAGAGAGGGGAGATCGGATAAGTACCTGAGAATAAACCCACATCAGGGTTTAAAAAATAAAAGCATTTACTTCTTGACCCTTGGTGCCTGATCAAATTTGTTCTCAGGGAAAGCCCATCTCCTGGTTTGGTTCCTGCAACAAAAACCCAAGAAAATTGAAAACATAAAGGGCCCGCAGTTTAATAGTTCTACATATCCATAAATTGAAACAGATAGGTCAATCAGAGCCATTACTTTCATCATCAGGGCACAATTACATAAAACTAACAGAAAATTTCATACTCATTTGCCACAAAACAGAAGAAGAAGAAGAAGAAAAAGGGAGAAAGGGCTTACATAAGAGCGTGAATGCACTTTGGGAACATCATAACCAAAGATGAAGCAGAAAGTAATGGTGGAGAGATAGGCGAGCTCGTTCGATGGTGGAAGGTTGAGAGAGAGAGAATTGACGGAGCATGAAGATCGATCCAAGAGCTCGAACTGAAATCCTTCGAATCCCCCGATCTCTCTTTGTCAACCTCCTCCTTCGCAGATCGCGACGAGCTGGAGATGGAAGCGATCAAGATGTTGGATACGAACCCGTCCAAGATCCGGCGATGTGGCGGCGAGGCGATTCTAGGGTTACTGGAGGAGAAGAGTAGGGTTTCTAGGGTTTTGGAGTGGGTCAGGGAGATGGGGAGGGGATTGAAAGGGTTAGGGTTAGGGTTAGGGTTTTGGGAGTGGGGGGCGACGGAGAAGATGGAGAGGGCTTGGTGGACCTTGCGGAGGCGGGAGAGGCGGAACGCCATTTTTATTTTTATTTTGGCGAGCAGAAGATCGATGAAGCGTTGGGGATTCTGCCAACTCGGGAAATGAAGAACGAATGAATGGCTTTGGGTGAAATGGTGGAAAGGAGATCTTGGGAAAGAAAGCGAAGCTAGGGACGAAGCGGCGCTAGGAACGAAGCGGTGAAAGGAGATCTGGGTGATTTTGCCAAGTGGCGTTGTTAAGAAAGAAGCGGTGAAAGGAGATGTGGGTGATTCTGCCAGGTGGCGTTTTTGCCAAGTGGCGTTTTGAAGGATAATACTTTTTAGTAATAGTATATTGGTGTGTTTGGGAGTTTACTTAGGGAAGGGAAGGAAGGGGAAGGAAGGGGAATTTTTCCCCTTCCTTCCCTTCCCCTCCATTACACCCCAATTTGGGGTGTAAGAATTTGGGCCAAATTTCCCCTCCATTCCCCTCCTCTACCCTCTAAAATAAAACTCTCAAACAAGGTTAAAATGAAATTTCTCTTCCCTTCCCCCTCTCTACCCTCCATCCAAACAGGCCCTATAGATAGAATTATTTCGATAGGAGCAGAATGGTTTGAAACATAAGCTACATAATTAAAATTCTGGAACTTAATCATCTAGCCTCTCGTGAATCAGCAGTATACTGCAAGGGAAAAAGGCAATTAATGCAATTAATAGATAATTAGTTCCCCAGTTATTTCTGATTATCATGACATCTCGATCTCGAAGACCATCGAAGCTCCAAACCTAGATCCAAATCCCAAAACCCACATGCTAGTTTTAGATTTTTTTTTTAATAATACAATTTTGCTGAATATACAGTTGGCTAAATATCATAAAACCCCCCTTAACTTTGGAAAATTATCAAGAACCCCCTAACTTTCAAAATATCAGAAAACCCCCTTAAGTTTAGGGTTATCAGAAAATCCCCTTAAGTTTGTAACCTTTATAATGTTTATTTTTTTTTTCCATTCAACATTATGATATTGGATAATTGGATCACTTGTCAGAAGTCCTCAAATTGGTATAAATCATATCGTATAATCTATTACTATTATTTAAGAAAAATCCCCGTCTTCATCACGCATGTCAAATTTTCAAAAATTCAAAAAATACTCTCACAATTTTAGTTATTTCTTAAGTCATTTGAGGGACAAATGTGGAAGAAAGCACAACTAAAAAAAGTGGGTGTCGTCAAACTTCAAAGATTCTTGAAAAAAAAAACCCTACAAGCTTGGAGTCCTTTCTTAGTAGTCTAGTTCAACTCTATTGCCCTGTTTGGATGGAGGGTAGAGAGGGGGAGGGGAAGAGAAATGAGGCTTTCACCTTGTTTGGGAGTTTTTTTAAGGAGGGTAGAGAGGAGGAAGGAAGGGGAAAGGAGGGCATAATTGCTTGGTTTTCTTCCCCTCTTTCCCCCCGATTTGGGCGGTAAAGAAGGGTAAATGAGGGTAAAGGGGTGTAATGACATTCTCATCCCCATCAACACAAATAAAAGGGCTGATGTGTTATTTACTTCCCATCAAAACAAATAAAAGGGCTGATGTATAAAGTCATTTATGTAAATTTACATATATTTACTTCCTTTCACCTTCATTCACCTTACTCAACTCCCAAACAACATATTACAATTCTCTTCCCTTCCCTTCCCTTCCCTTCTACCTTTCCTTCCTTTCCCTTAGTAAACTCCCAAACACACCATATATATATTATTAACTTTCATAACACGTCATTTCCTGCAGTAGAATAAACTGCAACCATAACTGTAGTATATAAACTGCAAACTATGTATCAAATAAAGGCAAACCACAAAAAATTTGCATGGAACAAGAATACGTACGGCGAATATTTATAGTCTTACAGCACAAAATTCAATTCGTTTGGTGCGTCATACACATACACAAAACCCAAAGCCACTCTAAACCTCAGGAGGGAGAAGCACCCCACAATCATATTGAACAGCAGCACTTATCCTAGGATAAACAAACGTATAGAAAACACGATCCCTGAAAATCCTAACAGCCCAGCCCCAAAGCCCAGACCCACCTTGTTGGACCCAGCCCGATAAGTACGAGCCCAAAACAAGACCTGAGACACGCCATCTCCTCTCCTTAACATACTTCCTCATTCCCTCTTCCACTTTACTCATATTCTCTTTTGATCTTAACGCACCTCCAATGTTTCTTGCAAGAACGACTGCATCCTCGAGCGCAGAGCAACCGCCCTGACCGAGGTCAGGAGTCATCGGATGCATTGCATCTCCGACCACCGTGACTGTTCCTTTATGGTTGGACCCGGTGAGAATGGCCCACGGGTTTCGAAGCATGAGAGGAGCCCATGTTAGTGATGAGAGGTCTGAGTGTTCGACAACTTCAAGGTATGATTGAGGAAATTCTTTAGCTAAGTTGTCTGTGACTTCCTTCAGGATGAGGGAAGGGTCCCTTGTGAATTCATTTGCCATGTCCTTTTCTGCATACATTTGGGATATTTTTAGAAGTAAGAAGAGTAAAAACACTCAGCTAGGCATAATAGTCTGTAATGGTGAAAGCCCAAAAAAAAAAAAAAGGAACTTAGGGGTTGTTTGAAATGTGGAAAATTATAATTGTCACTGCGACTAAAACTTAAATAGTGTATTGCTAATGTGGCACATATTCGGACCCACTATCATCCAGATCATCAATATATTCAGACCATAGTTAATGGTAAGCATGTATGTCACACTAATGACACAATGGCTAAATATGTTTGAGGGGTACACCAGCCCCCGTTTTCCCAACTATAATTGTTTATTTCATTACAACTGTGACCTTTTGCAATCACATTTACCAAAAAAGATCACTTTTTGCAACCATCGGACTGCAAATTGTCCATTTTTGTAACTGCTTCATGAAAAAAAAATTATGTTTGCGACAAAATAAGAACTAGAACCACAACTATCTTTTATAACTTGTAACTGCATTTGAGTTCCAATTTTCTGTAGGCCAAACAGCCTAAATCACTCATTGACTGTATTCAATCCTACATGAATTCTAATCTCGGGTTGAGTTCTGATAGCGAGAAATTTTTGAGGTAAAAAGCGTAATATGTGGCATGTAGAAATTGTGTTTGTGTGAGTGAGAGAGATTTACCTCTTGGCGTAGTAGGATTGGTGATGAACCAATAGATCTCTTTATCATTGAGTGGAATTAAACCAGCCCTTTTACCACAAGAGAGAAATTGATTGGCTCCATAATTCAATCCATGACCTTCATCATAAATTGCCAATCCTCGGACAGCTGACCTGCCAGAATTAATAGGAGCCGCCAGACCTAACCATTGTGCCACCAAAGAATGCACTCCATCACACCCAATCAATACCTGCCAATCATCAACAATTTTTTAATTCGACCCACTGCATTTGGATAAATCAGGATTATACAAAAGAAGTTCAACTTATTAGAACTGAAAAGATACATTGAGATACCCATATAGTTTGCCCCTATACAACAACATACAAGGTGAGTGATTTTATAAGGAAAAACTCTACAATATTGAACTATATGGTACATCATGATAATCATTTACTCAATTTTGGATCAATGTGTCCACCTCAGCCAAGAATACTCGTGATATTTGCATAGAAGTACATGACCGCAGGATGACATGAAGAAAAGGGATTCCGAAATTGGGCATTGCCGTGCACCTATTTCTTTTAAGAAAAGGGTATAACAACAACAACAACAAAACACAATCATACAATTATATGCCATGTTCAAGCATATACTAGTCAAACTTAAATTTTCGTGAGTACAATTTAATCCAGCAATGTTTCTTACCACAAAGTAAGCATATCCCGAAAAACAACTTTGAAAGTTATAAACGGGTATTCTCATTATTGTTAGGAGAAAGCAAGCATACCCTTACAATACAAAAACACAAGTCTTCTTTTATGGTTACCTTCGCTCTGATGATGGTTCCATCCTCTAGGTGTAGAATGACAACAGTCGATGAATCTTTCAAAACTTCAGTCCTAATTGATGCTAGTTTTGAAGAAAAGCGAATGGTGTCAGGTTTCAGCTCCTCAGCCAGTGCTTCTAACAACATCTTTCTGTGCACTGCTCGCAGTCCCATCCCACTCCTC